GAGGGAGTACAATTTATAACCGAACTGAATTGGAAATTAATCCAAATTATGCAGTTCAATTTTATTTTAATATGGTTTGGTGTGGTCTGAGATTTTATAAAAAAATGTGGTTTGATTTCGATTTTAGGATTTGAAAATTCGAAAACCAAACCGCAATATAAGCCTATATGTAAATTATAACCAAATCTAATTTTCAGCCCTACTATATAAGACAAAAACCAATTAGCCTTGCATTTCTATGAACTATAGGAGGAAGCTTAAGGGTCTGTTCACATTTACTGAACTGAGTTGAACTGAACTAAACTGATTAGAGTTGCAATGAACTGAATTGGACTGATTGGAGCTGAACTGAATTGAATAGAGCTGAAATGAATATTTTATGAGAAAAGGAAATTAGGAGCTGAACTGAACTGATTGGAGCTGAAGTTAACAGGCCCGAACTCGAGCATTATTTTGATCACTTGTAGCCACTTGAACAGTTGTAGGAATTTGTACATTTCTAGAAGCTCTCAGAGGAATTTGAGCACTATTTTGAACTCTTGGAGCTTTAGCAGTAACTTAGAACATTTTTAGGAATTGTGGCAACAAAGCAATATTAAAAGGATCGAATTGGAAAAAAAAAAAAAAAAAGAACCTAGTTGTCCTCTCATCTTTCCTCTTCTGTTTTAGGGTTTATAATATTTTGGTTGTTTAGGCTGAAATAGTCTAATTTAGTCTAATTTCTTCGAAGATTAGACTATTTTTGACCCTTTTATTTTGTTTTTCTATAGTGTTACATTTTAAGTTTCAAGAAATCTACACAAGTGGTGTAGATATTAGTTTGTCTCCGTATGTACATGTGGTGGAGTCGTTAGTTTTTTTTAGTTTAATTGTTTGTTTTTTGTTAGGCCGGATTTATTTGTGTGTAAGGGCTTATCAAAATATCAATCATCTTTTGCCCTCAATTTGTTTGTAATCATTATTTGAATCACTTGAACGCATTTGATAATTCGACAACGGTTATCGAATTATCAAATGTGTTTAAGCGAATCAAATAATTATCATCCTTTGGCTATAACAAATCGTTAGACCGTTTCTCAGAAAAGGCTGCATTTTTCAGCAATGCGCACAAGGAATGTACCACATTGTAAGATATTTTCAACGACCTTATGAAGGAACCTTTATTTGATTCTAATTTATGTATGTATTTGTGTAAGGAGGGTGTGTCCATCGTAAGAGATCCTTCTCCTCTATGCCCATGACCCTTTAAAGCCTAGAATTTTACACTTTTTTAGGGTGTGTTAGGATTTGAATTCATGACTGTTTTGGGGACCTTGAATTAGAGTTGATCCTATCGTTACGCTTTTTTGGAAAAAAAAACTAATAAGGAGTCGCCAATGAGTTTTAACTCATAAACCTCATTCATGCCTTTCTCCCAAGTAGAGTTCAAGGGATATTTAGCATGACTTTTACCTATGCCGAAATTGGTCTACTTATACCAGAAATGAGTTCGGAAGCGAAGACACTAAAATAACGTTTCTTTCCGGGAGGAATCGTCTCTACTTGCTTTTCCTTTTTCACAATTTCACCACCAAACAATGTATGCAACGTGATACCTAAAACTAAATTAGTTCACTACTAAAAAAAAAGCCCATTTTCGACGGAAAAATTCCGTCGGAAACACCCTGAAATCCATCGGAAAACCCGTTTTCGACGGAATTTCCGTCGAAAGCGGTTGTTGGAAAACGGTTGGTAGGAAAACGACCTTTTTAGACGAAAATTCCGTCATAACCAGTTTTTCGATGGAATTCATTTGTCGGAAGTGATTTTTCGGCACCGGAAAAATCCGTCGTAAACGTCTGACGGACACAATTCCATCATAAATTTGCGAGGGGAATTCCCTCGAAAATCATTCTAAAAAAAAAAAAAAACATGCGGCGCCAGGCCACCCTCAGCAGTGCCACCAACCTCCACCGCCGCGCCGCTAATAAAAAAAAATTATGAACAACCACCATCGCCACCAGCCCCATCACCCTAACTAACCTAGACCCAATCCTATTCACCCTAACCGACCCACCCATCAAACCCTAAAACTACCAACCACAACCGCCACCCACCTAACCTTCAAACCGACCCAAACCATAACCTACACCAACTATTATATATTTGATATCCTTTATATGTGATGAGATACACCTTAAGTACAATTTTTAAAAACTTGTGTAATAAATATTAGATGTTTATAAAGCCATTAAATAAGATCAGTGACATGTCAGTATATCTCCCTGTTAAAAATCAAAAATTTATCATCTAGATGTGTATTCTACCTGAAAATGAAGGGAAAAGATAGATTTGTAGGTAATGTGGTGATAAGGTTGGCTCTATAAGTGGGTGTTGAATGTTGATCCTTAGTAATAGGAAGTGATCAAGGATTAAATGAGTAAAGCAGGTCATAGATTATGTAAAAATTCTAGTATGGTCACTCTCGCAATGACCATCACTATACTTAATTTTCATTGGTTGTTTTTAGATTTATTTTTTTAGCTTGGTCAAACCTTATTTAAGGGTAGTTAAGGTATTTTGCTTTTTTAATTCATTTTCTTATTTTTCAGATTTCAATTATTGATTTTCTGAAATTCTTAATTTAATTTCGAAATTATTTTATCTAAATCTAATTTAATAAAATCTAAAATTAAGACAAAAAAAAATTAAAAATCGAAAATTTGTTCTTCGTCGTTCTTCGACGTTCATCAATGTTCTTCCTAGTTCATCAAAAATTTTCATCAAATAATGAAATCAACCACGATTTTATGTTCCATGTACCTTGATTTCAATCGCGCATCAATTGAGATCGAAAAATAGGCTTGATTTATATAGCCACTGCGCAATTTTATGGTACACATAATCGATTTCTATCACCCTGTGGGTGGTTTCTTAATCTTTGAATTATAGATTTTAATTGTACAAAATCAAGCATCGGATTCGAAAATAGCGATTTAAGGTATAAGAAATAAAAAAATTTAAGTTTTTCGGTAATATATGTTCGTCATGAAAATCTGAGAAGAAACCGTAACACATTATTTTTTTCACAACTTTTTTTGATCCAAAAAATCGAAGATCGAATTATAAACACTGTTTGTGATAAAGGTATTGACCCAAATACAAATATGACATAACCCTAACTGAATTTTATTAATTATAAAAAGATAATGACCAAACGTAACATTGGACATTTCCAATTATTATAATAGAATTTACTTCGATGGCAATTTATAATACGATGAACCTGGACAATGATTCGAACTAATCAATAAACAAAAATTATGGAATCAATATATTTTAAGTATAGAAATTGCATTTTAATATTGGAAATCACTTATTCTAATTATGATTTTTTTTCCTAATAAATTTCTATCTTTTTAAATTTTGAATAGATTATATATTGGAAATCAGTTATTCTAAATAGGATATTTTCCTAATTTATTACCTTTAAAAGTTAAATGATTTTTATCTTTTAAATTTTAAAAAATCTTTACAAACAACAGCGTTAGGGTTCTTTGCTTCACTAAAATAACGTTTCTTTTTGGGAGGAATCGTTATTCTAGCCCTAGTGCGGCCTCTACTTGCTCTTCCTTTTTCACAATTTCATCACCAAACAATGTATGCAACGTGATACCTAAAACTAAGTTACTTCACTACTAAAAAACAGCCCATTTTCGACGGAAAAATTCCGTCGAAAACACCCTGAAATCCATCGAAAAACCCGTTTCTGACGGAATTTCCGCCGTAAGCGGTTGTCGGAAAAGGGTTGGTAGGAAAAACGACCTTTTTAGACGAAAATTCCGTCATAACCAATTTTTTGATGGAATTCATTTGTCGGAAGTGATTTTTCGGCACCGGAAAAATCCGTCGACAACGTTTGACGGACCTAATTCTGTCGTAAATTTGCGAGGGGAATTCCCTCGAAAATCATTCTAAACAAAAAAAAAAACATGCGGCGCCACCCTCAGCAGTGCCACCAACCTCCACCGCTGCTAATAAAAAAAACTTATGAACAACCACCATCGCCACCAGCCCCACCACCCTAACTGACCTAGACCCAATCCTATTCACCCTAACCAACCCACCCACCAATTCATACCCGCCATGGGTGATGGGGCGGGGGTGAATTTTAAGCTATACCCACCCCGCCCCGCCTGACCCGCCCCATACCCGCCCCTCCCCACTGGACCCGCCCCATACCCGCATTATACCCGACCCATATGTACATAAAACATTATACATAACAAAAAAAAAAGTACTAATGAAGTTTCTAGACAAAAAAAGTACCACATCTTATTCATTCTGATGTAAAAATAACCTAGCCGGCACATATCCTCTCACCTCGCCTCTCTCCTCTTACCTCTCACCTCACTCACCGTTCTCAATTTCTCACACCTCTGAATCTCCGCCGGTGAGTTGTGCGAGATCCGATATGACCTTCAAATTCGGTACTCTCTCTAACTCATTTTTTTCCCCCAATTATTTTGCCCACCAATTTTAGTTCAGTCTAATTCAGTTTAACTCCTAATTTATTTCTTTCATAAAATATTCATGTCTGCTTTATATTTTAGTTCAGTTCAGCTCCAATAAATTCAGTTCAGCTCAATAAATGTGAACATACCTTCAGAAACTTACTACAATTAACATATAGATACGGAGTAAGCAAGTACCCAAATAGTTTTTCTTTTATACAAGGAAATATCATTGCAAGACATGTACACATAGTTTTGGTGTGTTAAATATCAGAGTTATTCTCGAAAGGGAAGATCTAAACTCAAAAATACAACAATAAAACTCTGTAAACTTAAGCAAATGTAAATTAATGCTTGTACATTTAAGTTACAAGAATATAAACAAGTTGGAAGACAAAATCGATTTTAGAATTAAATTGCTGGACGAAACCACATGGGACAACAATAGGAAGAGCGTAAGTGGGTGTTATTCTCCAGCTTCAATGGTCGGATGATATTGTCACCCATTTAAAAAACACAAAAGTCATGTCCCGCAAGTTTATCTTTGGTGGCATTAGAACCGAATGTGTAAGTATCTGTAAAGTATATGCAATTGCGTTGGCATCCCATCTCACTTGCACGAACAGACATAGTTGCATTGTTACCCACAAATAGAGCAACATCTTGCAAATCTTTCAACTCTTCCCAACTCCTGTCATCAAACTGAAACTTGTAAACCTTAAAATTAACTGTCTTGTAATGATCAATATCATGTTCACCTTCTCTGACCTTTCCTTCATCGTTTGTTTCCGTCTCAAATATCCTCAATACCAACAGAAGATCCTGACCAGAATTAACTATGTAGGTTTGTATATACGGTACGTAACATCCGTACCAACTTAATGCCAGAGGTTTCTTATTCTGAACATCATCAAGGTTTACCAGTGCAATATTGCCACTCTCATTCACGAATACAAGTCCATCGGTACCAAGATTATCCCTACGGTATAATACATCCATAACCCTCCGGTAAATAGCCCTTTTCTCAGATATAATTGGTGTCCACTGTGTGTCCCCGGGCTTGGCAATTGCAGCTCTAAGATAGGCATCATATATAAGTACCACCACTAAAGTATCACCTGATACCTTAAGTACAACAGCCCTGTTTATGAAATATGCACCAAGGAATTCACCAGAATTATCCCGAAGGAAAGGGATTGTACGGCGACAAGGGAGATCGAGGCAATCCTTGGTAAGAGGGTTAAATAAGTACATGTTATCATCAATCCCATGAGTTAGTATCCAACCATGAGATGATCCCCAACACTTCCTTCCATATCCTAGATCACACTCGACATTGTAACATCTAACTTTCTCCTGCGTTAAATCCCAAACAAGCTTCGAGTAGTATTAATATCATCAAACTTGTCTTCAATACTCCTTGCTGCTACGATAACACTCGACTCTACATGATCGGGTTTTAGATAAGGCCCTATCCATTCATGCTCGGTGATATCCTGGTTGCCATCAGTTAGCATAAGCCACGGCATTTGACACTCCCACTTGTGCTTCAAATTGACTAATTCAGAAGCTTTACGCCACGAACGACACACACCGGAAAAGGCTAGACCGTCCACGAATGATACTATGTGTTTATCGAGTATATTAACCACCAAATCAGTCGGCAGGTCTGCCCAGTTAACCCCCATCTTAACTTTTTTCCTGAAAAAAACAAACAAAACACATCAGCAAACATCATCTTAAACAAGCCAACCACATCATAAACTTCAATAACAATTAGAGGATGTACTAATAATGTGAACAATAACAATCATCCAAATTTAATTTACGAGATAGAAACGATTTTGCAGGAAAAAAAACACACCAAGAATTAACCAAATAATCAGTGAATAACCAACCTATTTCAAACAACAATTTAGATCCACCATAAATCCTTTTATTTATTTATTTATTTTAATGAAAGTTAGAACAGAAATTAGGAAATAATTTCTTTTTAACTAATTTTTGTTGGATTAGGAGCTTAGAAGTAATTATGTACTCCACATCTAAATTAAAAATAAAAGTAAATAAATTAAGAATTTTTTTTAAAAAAATAAATACTACGTACATAATTATCTACATCTAAGAGCTTAGAGATCTATTTGAACTCAATAGCATGACCAGTGGCCCTATAGAAGGCCCCATTAGTATTCTCTTATATATCTCTCATTCTATTCTACATCATTATAATTTTATCGATATAGTACAAGTTGTGTAACATATTTTTTTAAGGTAAGAAGAAGGATCCTACTTAATCGACACTTCTCATAGGTTTAGCCAGCCCAACTCCACAGGTCATCGCTTTGAAAGTAGAGGGGGGAAATAAGGGAATCCCTCTACTCCCAAGCATTTTGTAGTTGGTGGGGTTCAAACTCATGACCTCAAAGTCACAAGGTGAGTTCCCCAACTTCACCAAGCTTTGCTTGGTATATTATTATTATTATTATTATTATTATTATTATTATTATTATTATTATTATGGTTTTGTACAATTATAGTATATTAGTATCATACCCATATATATAGAATATACCATCAACATTCTAATATACATGAATTTTATTATCGTCTTTTGTCAAAAAAAAAAAGATATTTTATTACCAACAACCTTAACATTTTATTACTTATACATTCTAAATTTGATTTATTTTTTTAAAGAATTGTAAATTTGATTTAATTAATAGTATGTATTTAATTAGTTTAATATTCTTGTATATGATATTGTAATTACAAATAAAATTATAATATTATTAGTGTTATCTTAATGCATTATCCTTTGAAGCTAAGCTTTAATTAAGACATTAAGAGAATAATTTTAAAAAATTGTTTGAAGTGTAAAAATATTTTTAGAAACAAATGTTAATTATATCGAGCTTCTAACGAGCTTTCGAGTCGAGTAGTGGCTTGCTCGACTCGACTCGTTAGAGTTTTGAATTGATTGTTGATCAAGTATTAAGCTCGCGAGTAGCCCGCGAGCTGTCTCGTCTCATAAGCAGCCTAATTTTAGTCTCCATCCCTCCCCCCTAGATATAGAATTTTGAGAGATAAGGGATTTTGTTTTGTTTCTTGTTCCATCTCGCTCTATAATCCATGTCTCTCTCGTTTCCTCTAAACAAACTTGATGCATAAGTACAACAAATTTGTTTGGATTAAAGCTATAACATCATAGGTAATTGGATAAAATTGGATCATCGTGAAATCTATTAATGTGAGTTACATTTTAAAAAATAAAATTAAAAAAAAAAAAAAACAAACAAAAATCACCAATCTATCCACAATAATTATCATAAAATGTTCAAATAAATTTCAAAATCATCTTGAGTTTGTAGCATCATCTATTATTGGACCACCAATGCAATTTAATATTATATAGCTTGAAAGATGTAAAATTATCAAATTGTATCATTCTAAGATTCTATCATGCATTTTCTCAAATTTGTAAGATCTCACAAAATAATTTTACACATTCAATTATATAAGGGTTTGTTCTCTTCAACTTAAGTTCAGTTCAGTTCTGTAAATCAAAACAAGCCCTAAATCACACTAATACAAAATGAAATCCCAATCTTAACAACCCTGCCAACAAGAAACATATAATGAACTCAAGTGAAGACTTTTCAAAGCTTAATGTCTATATTTTTCATTTCTTTCAAAAAAAAAAATGTCTATAGTTTTCATAGGAAGGAAAACAGGTCATGTGACACAGGGAATGTAATGGAAGAGGTGAAGATTTTTCATTATCTATAACAAATAATGGGATTAATATTGCCTAAGGGCCTATTTTGATTAACTGAACTGGGCTGAGCTGAACTGAACTTATTGGAGCTAAATTGAACTGAACTGAACTAAATATATTATGAGAGAAGGAAATTAAGATAAGAACTGAACTGAACTGAACTTATTGGAGCTGAACTGAACTGAAAATAAGCTAAAGAGAGCAGGCCCTAAGCCATCATTTTGAAAATCTCAGCGTTTCTTTGTAGTTATGTGAAGTATGTAATATGTATACTCCCTCTGTGTTTTTTTAAGTGACACAGTTTGACCGGCACATAGTTTTAGGAGATTTTATTAACTTTAATAAAATCAGATGTTAGTGGGATAGGTTGGAGGAATGAGAAATGATAAAGTAAAAGAATGTGAGAGGAAGTGGGGACCATAAAAGGAGTGAGAAATGATAAAGTAAGAGATAGTGGGGTGAATATATATTATTAAAATGTAAGGAATCTAAAAGAGGAAGTGTGTCACTTAAAAAAAACACGATCGGAAATGAAAAGTGTGTCACTTAAAAAACACGGAGAGAGTACTTAAGAGCCAAGGATTGTTATACAGCTAAGATTAATGCTCAATGACAAGTTTACTAGAAATGACAGCAGCTAGCATTTTTTGAGTTAAGCGCAGTTTTTTTTTTTAATTCTATGTAAACGTTTGCAAAGTACAGTCCTTACAAGGGGTCTACAGCATACTGCATACATCTGACGTGTAGCAATGGTGATACCCCAAGGGGTGGCAGCCTAGCAATCCCTAACCCGGCCCAAAGTTACTGAGAGAAACCCAAACCTGAACCGAATCAAACTCGGATTCGACCTAAATTTCATATTTCGTAATAATATTACATTTTACACTATTTTTGATAGTTTCTATGCAAACTCAAAATCGATCCAAAATCTAACCCCAAAACCGACCTGATGACTAGAATTACCACCCCCCTATCTTGAAAACCCCCCTATTGATTGACTAAATAAGACAGGACATAGAGCTTCTGATAGGAAAATTGCGGTGAAATTATTCAGACGACAAAACACACAAGCACAACTTTCTTGAAAATCTACTTCCATTTCGATTATTCCGCAAGCCAAGCAAATTTTGCTACAAGAAGCTCTAGCCAATCATACAATTTTTGCCACTTCTAAGACATAAAAACACTGCAATATTTCAGAGAAGGATAAATTCCTACATCCAACCAAGCGAGCAGCATTTTGCTAGTTAAGAGAAATATGTAAAATCAGGTAGAATCGTAAATCGAATCGTATGACATGCATAAATCGTAAGATTATAAGATTTAAATCGGGATTTTAATAACAATGATTTCAACATTTATCCTTCTATTTGAGCTAACTTAAACCTGAATATCATGATGAACGCAAAAGAAAATAGAGCAGACACTCAAAGCTAAAAGGTGTCAAGAATTATGTATCTTGATGATGTATATAGAATCTATGATCATATTTTGCACTATATTAAGAACACGACTAATGATTTATCAATCAATTGGGTTGCCAAACTATTTATATGACAAAAATGGTGACAATGAAGGGCAGTTCTCCAAACTGAACAAACTGCCAAGCTATTGCTGAAGGCTCCCATATCACCGTTCATACCTGTTGTTCTACGAGATGACAGCCATTACATGAGAACCCCAGCTAACTGCTAACTCTATTATCTTCACATAAGCAGTTCTCCTAGTGCTGATCAATGGCATACAAAGGCGAGGAACCCATCAAACAAGTTTGTTTGAGTTCCTTAGATGTGCCTCTGGAAAGCTCCCCATCAGGTAGACCCTTTGCCTCCACTTTCCAGATTAATTAAAGGATCAGACTCATCTCCCTTAACCTAGTGGTGATAAAAAAGCCTCAGATATCATCCAAAAAAAAGCTCATTGGTGAAATGATACAGATTACATAAACAACTCACAGCCTGTTTGATAAAAAAAATATATGTATGGAAAAATGATAATGAGTTTGTATATAATTCTGCAAAGAATTCCTCATGTCAATATACGAGTGATGCACCTCCATCCCCAAATATGTGTTTCTCCATAAGTTTTCATTTACAACCTCAAAGGTGATATTGACAATTAATGAAAATTTATTTTTTAAAAGGGTAAAAAAAAAAAAGAAAAATATTACTACGGTCAATGACATGACACTTCCCTTACAAAACTACATATAAACTCATTACCAATGTTGCTAACCAAACAGGTCGTCAAAGTTGGGAGTTTTTTTCTTGAGAAAACAGTACCTGAGACAATGGAGCTGGTTCAGACGCCTTCTTCTGAGTTTCTCGGGTACAGTAATAGGAATAAAGAATCATTCCCACCAACGCAATCAAGATTCCAAGAATATTTCTCCAGCTAAATGGATCATGAAGCAAGATGTAGCCAAATGCCAAAACCAAGCATGTTTTCAGATGTCCTAGCACTTGATAAGTGACTGGAGATGTCTTTCCAATCACAAGGAAAGTACTGAAATTAACGGAGACAGCAATCAAACAGGAAATTATGATGAAAGTCTGCAAAACAAATGAAAAGACTTGTCAAACATATAGTTGAAAATAAGGTCACTGGAAAGAGTAATAAACAGAAAAGGAAATCTATCTTCTCACCAATACTTGTGTTGTATAATTGAAAGTAAACACATTTTGATTTGTCAAAAGTTTATCTAGAAATGGCCCAGAGATCAACAGTGTTGCTGCTTGGTAAGGACTTGATTGATACAACAGCTGAGTTGAAGAAACTTTGAACTTCTTCTGGATGGTATTAGTCATCTAGAATGGTATGGTTAAGATCTTAAACAAAAGATACAAACACGCACATATATATTTATATATACCTTTTACCAGACTTATTCACAACATCTCTACATCTACAACA